ACAGCCTCAGGTGGTAGTAAGAACAGCGTCAGGTGGTAGTAAGAACAGCCTCAGGTAGTAGTAAGAACAGTCTCAGGTGGTAGTAAGAACAGTCTCAGGTGGTAGTAAGAACAGTCTCAGGTGGTAGTAAGAACAGTCTCAGGTGGTAGTAAGAACAGCGTCAGGTGGTAGTAAGAACAGTCTCAGGTGGTAGTAAGAACAGTCTCAGGTGGTAGTAAGAACAGCCTCAGGTGGGAGTAAGAACAGCGTTTAGGTGGTTAGTAAGAACAGTCTCAGGGGGGGGGTAGTAAGAACAGCCTCATGTGGTATAAGAACAGCGTCAGGTGGTAGTAAGAACAGCCTCAGGTGGTAGTAAGAACAGTCTCAGGTGGTGGTAAGTACAGTCTCAGATGGTAGTAAGAACAGTCTCGGTGGTGGTAAGAACAGTCTCAGGTGGTGGTAAGAAAAAGTCTCAGGTGGTGGTAAGAAGTCTCAGGTGGTGGTAAGAACAGTCTCAGGTGGTGGTAAGAAGTCTCAGGTGGTGGTAAGAACAGTCTCAGGTGGTGGTAAGAACAGTCTCAGGTGGTGGTAAGTACAGTCTCAGATGGTAGTAAGAACAGTCTCGGGTGGCAGTAAGAACAGTCCAGATGGTGGTAAGAACAGTCTCAGGTGGTGGTAAGAACAGTCCAGGTGGTGGGAAGAACAGTCCCCAGGTGTTGGTAAAAACAGTCTCAGGTGGTGGAAAGAACAGTCTCAGGTGGTGGTAAGAAGTCTCAGGTGGTAGTAAGAACAGTTTCAGGTGGTGGTAAGAACAGTCCAGGTGGTAGTAAGAACAGTCTCAGGTGGTAGTAAGAACAGTCTCAGGTGGTGGTAAGAACAGTCCAGGTGGTGGTAAGAAGTCTCAGGTGGTGGTAAGAACAGTCTCAGGTGGCAGTAAGAACAGTCCAGGTGGTAGTAAAACAGTCTCAGGTGTTGGTAAGAACGTCTCAGGTGGTGTAAAGAACAATCTCAGGTGGTGGTAAGAAGTCCAGGTGGTGTAAGGGAAAAGTTCAGGTGGTGGTAAGAACAGTCTCAAGTGGTGGTAAGAACAGTCTCAGGTGGTGGTAAGAAGTCTCAGGTGGTGGTAAGAACAGTCTCAGGTGGTGGTAAGAACAGTCTCAGGTGGTAGTAAGAACAGTCTCAGGTGTTGGTAAGAACAGTCTCAGGTGGTGGTAAGAACAATCTCAGGTGGTGGTAAGAAAAGTCTCAGGTGGTGGTAAGAACAGTCTCAGGTGGTGGTAAGAACAGTCTCAGGTGGTGGTAAGAACAGTCTCAGATGCTGGTAAGAACAGTCTCAGGTGGTAGTAAGAACAGTCTCAGGTGGTAGTAAGAACAGTCTCAGGTGGTGGTAAGAACAGTCTCAGGTGGTGGTAAGAACAGTCTCAATGCTGGTTTAAAAACAGTCTCAGGTGGTGTAAGAACAGTCTCAGGTGGTGGTAAGAACAGTCCCCAGGTGGGTAAGAACAGTCTCAGGTGGTGGTAAGACAGTCCCCAGATGCTGGTAAGAACAGTCTCAGGTGGTAGTAAGAACAGTCTCAGGTGGTGGTAAGAACAGTCCAGGTGGTGGTAAGAACAGTCTCAGGTGTTGGTAAGAACAGTCTCAGGTGGTAGTAAGAACGGTCTCCGGTGGTAGTAAGAACAGTCTCAGGTGTTTTGGGAAGAAACAGTCTCGGTGTTGTAAGAACAGTCCAGGTGGTATAAGAACGGTCTCCGGTGGTAGTAAGAACAGTCTCAGGTGGTAGTAAGAACAGTCTCAGATGCTGGTAAGAACAGTCTCAGGTGTTGGTAAGAACAGTCTCAGGTGTTGGTAAGAACATCTCAGGTGGTGGAAGAACGTCTCAGGTGGTGGTAAGAACAGTCTCAGGTGTTGGTAAGAACAGTCTCAGGTGGTGGTAAGAACAGTCTCAGGTGTTGGTAAGAACAGTCTCAGGTGTTGGTAAGAACAGTCTCAGGTGTTGGTAAGAAGAGTCTCAGGTGTTGGTAAGAACAGTCTCAGGGGTTGGTAAGAACAGTCTCGGTGTTGGTAAGAACAGTCTCAGGTGTTGGTAAGAAGAGTCTCAGGTGTTGGTAAGAACAGTCTCAGGTGTTGGTAAGAACAGTCTCAGGTGTTGGTAAGAAGAGTCTCAGGTGTTGGTAAGAACAGTCTCAGGTGTTGGTAAGAACAGTCTCAGGTGTTGGTAAGAAGAGAACAAGTGATAACAGTGAGCCAGGCTGTAAGAAGAATAGAAGATTAATAATTAATAAAGTAAACAGAAGGGAGTCAAAGTTGTGTGTCACAGTCCCAGAGGACCATACCACTCCTCTCTTGATATCTACACACCACCATCACACTCTCTTTACTGTATGACCAACTTAGGTCTCTTGTTTGGTCTGGCCTAAGTGGTCTTTCCTCTTAGGCTTTAATTAATGTTTCTGCAGTTACATTTTGACACAAGTTACACGTGAGGAATGTAGCTTAAATGTCTGTTTTAGCTGAAGGTTGGTTTGAAATTATGATGTAGGTCTGTGTCACTGTAGGTCTCGTGTCACTGTGGGCCTCGTGTCACTGTGGGCCTCGTGTCACCGTGGGTCTCGTGTCACTGTGGGTCTCGTGTCATTGTAGATCTCGTGTCGCTGTAGGTCTCGTGTCACTGTAGGTCTGTGTCACTGTGGGTCTCGTGTCACTATGGGTCCCGTGTCACTGTGGGTCTCGTGTCACTGTGGGTCTCGTGCCACTGTAAGTCTCGTGTCACTGTGGGTCTCATGTCACTGTAGGTCTCATGTCACTGTAGGTCTCGTGTCACTGTAGGTCACGTAGCGCTGTAGGTCTCGTGTCACTGTAGGTCTGTCACTGTGCCACGTGTCATTGTAGGTCTTGAGTCACTCTGGGTCTCGTGTCACTTTGGGTCTCGTATCACTCAGGATCTTGGGTCACTCTTGGTCTTGTGTCACTCTGTGTCTTGTGTCACTCTGGGTTTTGTGTCACTCTGGGTCTTATGTCACTCTGGGTCTTGTGTCACTCTGGGTCTTGTGTCACTCTGGGTCTTATGTCACTCTGTGTCTTATGTCACTCTGGGTCTTATGTCGCTCTGGGTCTTGTGTCAGTCTGGGTCTTGGGTCACACTGGGTCTTGGGTCACTCTGGGTCTTGCGTCACTCTGGGTCTTGTGTCACACTGGGTCTTGGATCATTCTAGGTCTTAGGTCACTCTGGGTCTTATGTCACTTTGGGTCTTGGGCCAATCTGGATCTTATGTCACTCAGGGTCTTGTGTCACTCAGGGTCTTGTGTCACTCTGGATCTTGTGTCACTCTGGATCTTATGCCACTCTGGGTCTTGTGTCACTCTGGGTCTTGGGTCACTCTGGGTCTTATGTCACTCTGGGTTTTATGTCACTCAGGGTCTTGTGTCACTGGGTCTTGGGTCACTCTGGGTCTTGTGTCACTCTGGGTCTTATGTCACTCTGGGCCTTGGGTCACTCCGGGTCTTGGGTCACTCTGGGTCTTGGGTCACTCTGGGTATTGGGTCACTCTGGGTTTTGTGTCACTATCGGTCTTGTGCCACTCTGTGCCTTGTGCCACTCAGGGTCTTGTGTCACTCTGGGTCTTATGTCACTCTGGGTCTTGGGTCACTCTGGCTCTTGGGTCACTCTGGGTCTTGGGTCACTCTGGGTCTTGGGTCACTCTGGGTTTTGTCACTGTAGGTCTTGTGTCAATGTGGATCTTGTGTCACGCGTCATTGTGGGTCTTGGGTCACTCTGGGTCTTGTGTCACTATGGGTCTCGTGTCAGTCTTTGCCTTGTGTTACTCTGGGTGTTGTGTCACTCTGGGTCTTATGTCACTCTGGGTCTTGTGTCACTCTGGGTCTTGTGTCACTATGGGTCTCGTGTCACTCTGTGCCTTGTGTCACTCTGGGTCTTGTGTCACTCTGGGTCTTATGTCACTCTGGGTCTTGTGTCACTCTAGGTCTTACGTCCCTCTGGGTCTTGTGCCACTCTGGGTCTTGTGTCACTCTGGGTCTTGTGCCACTCTGGGTCTTGTGTCACTCTGGGTCTTGGGTCACTCTGGGTCTTGTGTCACTCTGGGTCTTATGTCACTCTGGGTCTTGTGTCACTCTGGGTCTTGTGTGACTCTAGGTCTTACGTCCCTCTGGGTCTTGTGCCACTCTGGATCTTGTGTCACTCTGAATCTTGGGTCACTCTGGGTCTTGTGCCACTCTGGGTCTTGTGTCACTCTGGGTCTTGGGTCACTCTGGGTCTTGTGCCACTCTGGGTCTTGTGCCACTCTGGGTCTTGTGTCACTCTGGGTCTTGGGTCACTCTGGGTCTTGTGTCACTCTGGGTTTTGTGTCACTCTGGGTTTTGTGTCACTCTGGGTCTTGGGTCACTCCAGGTTTTGGGTCACTGGGTCTTGTGTCACTCTGGGTCTTGTGTCACTGTTTGTCTAATGTCACTCTGGGTCTTGTGTCACTCTGGTCTTGGGTCACTCTGGGTCTTTTGTCACTCTGGGTCTTGGGTCACTCTGGGTCTTTTGTCACTCTGGGTCTTGTGTCACTCTGGGTCTTGGATCACTCTGGGTCTTGGGTCACTGGATCTTGTGCCACTCTGGGTCTTGGGTCACTCTGGGTCTTGTCTCACTCTGGGTCTTGTCTCACTTTGGGTCTTGTGTCACTCTGAGTCTTGTGTCACTCTGGGTCTTTTGTCACTCTGGGTCTTGTGTCACTCTGGGTCTTGATCACTCTGGGTCTCGGGTCACTCTGGGTCTTGGGTCACTCTGGGTTTTGTGTCACTATGGTTCTTGTGCCACTCTGTGCCTTTTGTCACTCTGGGTCTTGTGTCACTCTGGGTCTTATGTCACTCTGGGTCTTGTGTCACTTGGGTCTTTTGTCACTCTGGTCTTGTGTCACTTTGGATCTTGGGTCACTCTGACTTGGTCACTGGTCCTTGCACTCTGGGTCTTGTGTCACTCTTAGTCTTGGGTTACTCTGGATCTTGTGTCACTCTTGGTTTTGTGTGAGGTGGGGTACGGTTCTTCAGTAATATCTTCTGTGAGGGCGATCTCGTTTTTTGCGGCGAAATACGACGCGTCTTCTAAATCTATGATTTGTGATTACTCGTAGTAATTTTCTTTTTTCTGGAAATAATACTTGTACGAGGTTTACGGGTTCAGTTGTGTCGTTATTTTCGTCTTCTGGACTGGCTGGTTTGTGACTGTCTTCAAGACCATTGTTTTCACGCGGTTGGTCTCGGGCATTGACGTCCTTATCAGTGTGTTCAAATTTACTTTTTTCACTTATTTGGTCTTGCAAGCTGACTGTTTTTTCATTATCTGAGAGCATCGTTGTAGGATCATTTTGGTTATCCATGCTAGTGGTGTGTGTGTTAGCCTCGTCTCTTGGAGTGAGGTGCGTGCAGGAGTTTTGTGGAGTGTGATATGTACAGGAGTCCTTTGGAGTAAGACGTGTGCTGGAGTCTTGTGGAGTATGACGTGTGTAGGAGTCTTGTGTACAGAGGTGTTTACAGAAATCTTGTATAGCGAAGTGTGTGTAGGCGTCAGGCAATCTAGACCCATCATCATGTACCTCTCTCCTTGATTCCCACACTTCGGGAGCTAGAATTTGGTCTTCGTGGCTCGAGGAAGATGGAGGTTCAGTACTAGCAGAAGAGATGCCACACTTCTCCTTGAGCTTGCCTGTCTTATCTCTCTCGTACTCCTCAGTCACAGCTTGAAACAGCTTGATGACGGTCTCCCTTTCTTCACCTCCAAGATCCTTAACTTCAGGCTCTTCTTCAACTTCAGGTTTGTTAACCTTAGGCTCCTTCCCTCCACCTTCAGATTTCCTAACATTGACCATCACTCTATTGAAAATATCCGGGAAGATGCGAGAGGTTTCCTTGAGCAATTTTTTGAGGTTTACCTTCTTCAAGAGCTTCATCTTGTAGTCTGGGAGGAGCGTCTTGACAGGCAGTGGTCTCCACTTCTTCTTATTCGTCAGGTAGGTGTGGTGACACTCGTACAGCTGCCTGTATAACTCCTGCAACACAAAATTAACTCAAATTGACTCCGAAAATAAAATAATTTATGAAAGTCTTTTCCTGAAGTAATACTGAAACTAAAATTAATACACAAAACGAAAAAAAATGGTGTAATCAATAATTAGCAGTGACGAGTAGAGGATGTGAATGTCAGATATAGGATGATGAATAATTAATGTAAGTAATGAATAAAGACAATGATACACGATGAAAGCTGGACAATCCATAATAGTGAATAATGAGGACAAATTCACCATTAATAATGATATAATAGATAATTAATAAAGAATAACTATGTAATAAAGTTACAAATTGATAAGGATCTATTGTAAATCCATGCAGCTGAGTAAATATTTATTTACATTTAAATGTCCCTTAGTATATTCAAACAGGAGACGAATTAACCTTCCATATCTACTCAAAGTGCCCAATCAGTTGCAAAATGCCAATATTTTAAGACCTGTCAATAACTACCCATGACTTAGCCAATCACTTGACAGCACAACTACAACTACCCATGACTTAGCCAATCACTTGACAGCACAACTACAACTACCCATGACTTAGCCAATCACTTGACAACACATGACTGGACCAATCACATGATAGAACACCTACCCATGACTGGACCGATACATATAACAGGCCTTGCAGGATACAATATTTTTTTTCACAAGGTTGGCACCTACAAAGAGTAGTGGAGTGTGGCAACAAGTCGAAGAAACGGACCTCTTGAGCATTTTGAACTGCGATGCAACAAGAATATTACACTTGTGGTAGTATACTGTCCTCAACAAGAACCAGGAGACTGACACTTGGGTTTGGCAGCAGAGTTGCAGATATATGGACAAAAAAAAGGTAGAGTAACGTCAATGAAGCTTATATAATTTGAACTTTAAAAATAAGCTAAGCACCTTACCTGGCAAGCATAAAAGGAGCACTGCAGTGGACCTACTTGTTTATGAGTATCTTGTGTTGCCCACAAGTATGAAGAACAGACAAATAGCAGAACAAGCTTGTACGGTGGCAGCGATTCGCTGCCACCGTACATAAAACTTTGTACAGAGTGAAACATTATTCCAATAAAACCTTGGTTTGCAACTTTTCTTCATACGTGTTGGTAATATCTCTCATCCATGAGCCAGTAGATCATCCGAAGTCCTCCGCTTTTATGTTCCTTATACAAGGTATTATGCTAGGTAGATCCTTCTCACAGCCAACCATTCCCATTTATTTATCTCGCATATTTTTTTAAAACTCAAGGCATAAACTTCATGGACATTACATAGCTGTTTTTTTCACATATCTACAACTCTACTGAAAAAAACAGTTTTTTCCTATATCCTTTCCGAGACTCAACACTGAATAATAACGCTGCAATAACAATCGGTGATTGTAACAGCCATAAGTTCAACTTAGACACACTAACAGTGATCAAGAAGCCACGAAATTCTTCAATACGTTATTAAGCAGCTTCTCATAATAAAGTGTCACGATTATCAACACACGAATGTTTTCTGACCACAGAGACCTCATACAGTCATGTTGAGATGAAAGAAAATTTAAGTGGCCACGACTAAACTTGACTTTAATAAATGCAAACTTTGAGATTTAAACAAATCATATGATGTTTTCCACCTGCAGAGTAGCAAACTTTGATAAAGTGCTTTGAGATATCACCAACGTAAAGTGGATCAAGCTGAGAAATGTGGTCTGAGACCATTCCTTACCTTACCCAGAGCATAACCTAAAGTGCTCGCCCAGGACATGGAAAAACTGCCTGTAGAGACTGCAAGCGTCAAAAGCTAGTGACGAACGAGGATGAACTGGTAAGAAAGCCACGAGTTCCACCCCAAGAGTTACCACTCGTGGAACTGAAGGTGACCTCACATAATATTTCCGCCACCAGACAGCTACGAATGGACCACACAATGTGCCACCAGACAGCTACGAATGGACCACACAATGTGCCACCAGACAGCTACGAATGTTCCACACAATATGCCACCAGCCTATTCACCTAACTGTCCGATTCCCTCAACACTGCAGTTGGTGGGATGAGAATGGAAAACCCACGTTAAAAGCCACGTTACTTTTAACAAGGCATCATGTGCACATGAGCCTGGGTCAGTCAAACCTCTTCCCACATCTATATCACTGCACCACGATGAGGCACCAGTGTTAAACAAGGATATTTTTTTAATCCAATGGTTGTAACTGGCACCAATGTGTCAACAAATCTTTACCCTGAACACCGAATAATGTCAAGTAGTGAGTAAAAAAAAATTATTTGTGGAGATAGCAGAGCCAGTCATCACCCAGAGATTCAGCAAATGCCATCATATCAATATATTTTCTAAAATCGCGGTGCTCGTGTAATGATGCAGGACTGCCAGTCCCTGACCCGGGTTCCAGCCCACTTGAGCCCTTGTTTATACGGTATGTCAGGACAGCTGGTATAATTAATGTTAAGCTCTAAATCCATGTGGGTCATTGAGTGCAAGACGTGGTGGAGCTTTAATCCTTCGTCTGTTGAGCGCGAGACAGACATGCTGCGATTCTTATATAAAACCTTTGTCTAAAGCCATCAACAAACAACAAAATCACTTACATCAAGGGACTTCTCACGGAGTCAAATGCAATGTTTGCAGCATTCACAGAGACCCACGCAAAGGATCATTTTGACAACGAAATATGGATCCCAGGTTATAACCTATTCAGATGCGACAGACTAAACAGGCAACAAGGGGGTTAGGGAGGGTTGGCCTGTACGTCACAGAGTCGCTCATTTGTTCAGAACTACTAAACACCTCAAATGATATAGTTGAAGTTTTGGCGGTAAAGACTGAAAACCCAAACTTTGTCATTGTGGCTATGTATATGCCTCCAGATGCAACTTTCCAGCATTTCTGGGAGCAGCTTGTGAAAATTGACTACTCTCTGGAAAATCTCCCAAATTCTGCCCCAAACATCATGCTACTAGGAGATTTCAACTTGAGACACCTATACTAGAGGAGTGTAGCAAATAATATTTTAGCAGAGATCACCCCAGGAGGCACCTCAGATGAAAATTCACACACACATGAGCTATTAAATCTCTGCACCAAATTCACCTTAAACCAGCCAATATTAGAGCCTACATGACTAGAAAATACACTGGACCTCATCTTCACTCACAACGACGATCTGATACGTAATATAACCGTATCAAAGACAATACACTCAGATCACAACATAACAGAGGAACAAATATGTATGCATAAGGCTCCTGACCAGCAAAATGTGATCAATCATAAGGGTGTCTTTACAAAATTCAATTTCAGTAACAAAACATACAATGGGAACAAGTCAACAATGTCCTAAATGAAACAAGCTGAGATATCCTAAACAACACAGATCCGAACCTTTACCAAGAAAAAATAAACTCTGTGGTTCTTGAGACCTGCTCAAGGCACATTCCATTAAGAAAAAGAAAGAGAAGATATAAACTAGAAAGAGAAAGGTGCTCCCTATACAGATGAATGCGAAGAGTCACAGAGCTCCTGAGAGGGGCCAATATATCTGAAATACGAAGGGATGCACTGGTTAATGAAACTGCAAATATCGAACTTAAGCTGAAGGAATCTTACAGGAGACAAGAATCGCAGGAAGAACTAAAAGTCATAAAGGAAATTGAAAAGAAAAAACAAAATACTTCTTCTATTATGCCAAATCTAAGGGAAAAACAACATCCAGTATAGGGCCACTGCTTAGCAGAGATGGGACATACACAGATAACAGCCAAGAAATGAGCGAGATACTAAAGTCCCAATACGACTCAGTGTTCAGCAAGCCGCTGCTCAGACTAAGGGTCAACAATCCAAATGAATTCTTTATGAACGAGACCCAAAATTTGGTCATCTCAAAAATCTAGAATATTTTCCTAACACCACAAGACTTTGAAAAGGCAATAAATGACATGCCCATGCACTCTGCCCCAGGTCCAGACTCATGGAACTCCGTGTTCATCAAGAACTGCAAGAAGCCCCTGTGGGGTGCCTTCAGCATTCTATGGAGAGGGAGCATGGACACAGGGGTCATCCCACACTCACTAAAAACAACAGACATAACTCCACTCTACAAAGGTGGCAGTAAAGCAATTGCAAAGAACTACAGACCGATAACACTAACATCTCATATCATAAAAATCTTTGAAAGGGTTCTAAGAAGCAAGATCGCCAACCACCTAGATACCCATCAATTACACAACCAAGGGCAACACGGGTTTAGAGCAGGTGGCTCCTGCCTGTCCCAGCTATTGGATCACTATGACAGGGTCCTGGATGCTGTAGAGGATAATGAAAATACAGATGTAGTATACACAGACTTTGCAAACGCTTTCGACAAGTGTGACCATGGTGTAATAGTAATTACAGGAAAAGTTGGTAGATGGATCTTTAACTTCCTGACAAATAGAACACAAAGAGTAGTAGTAAACAGAATAAAGTCTGAGGCAGCTACGGAGAAAAACCCTGTTCCACAAGGCACAGTACTAGCTCCCATTCTATTCCTCATCCTTATAACTGACAGACAGAGATGTAAGCCATCGCTCCGTGTCTTCCTTTGCGGATGACACCCGGATTGCCATGACGTGACCTCCATCGAAGACACTGCAAGACTCCAAGCGGACATAAACCAAATCTTCAAATGGGCCACTCAAAACAATATGAAGTTCACTGAAGCGAAATTTCAACTACTCAGATATGGAGAACTTGAGGAAATTAAAACTGTATCGGAGTACAAGACAAATTCTAACAATACAATAGAGCGAAAATGTAATGTGAAGGACCTGGGAGTGATAATGTCAGAGGATCTCGCCTTCAAAGACCACAATAGTGTAGCTACCGCATCTGCTATGAAAATGATAGGATGAATAATGAAAACCTTCAAAACCTTGGAAGCCAAGCCCATGATGATTCTCTTCAAATCGCTTGTTCTCTCTAGGCTGGAATACTGCTGT